CTGCCTGCCTGCCTGCCTGCCTGCCTGCCTGCCTGCCTGCCTGCCTGCCTGCCTGCCTGCCTGCCTGCCTGCCTGCCTGCCTGCCTGTCTGTCTGTCTGTCTGGCTGGCTGGCTGGCTGGCTGGCTAGCTAGCTACTTGTTCATTTACTTGCTTACTTATTTTTTTTTTTATTTACTCATTCCTGCAGGAGTATCATAGTATTTCTGCTGCAATAACTATGTAACTGGATATTACTGATGATGTAAAGTACATTTAAAAATAAAGAGTTTACAAGATCGATGAGATTTATGAGATCAGTGTTGTTGTTTAAAGATGGCAGCAGTGAAATTTGTTCTTGACCACACTCTAAGTAGCTGTTAGCGTGTCAGTCTGGTCTAAATTAACTATTTTCCCAAACTTGGGTCCTTCAAAGAGCTATCTAGAACAGGTAAGATAATTATCGTTGATGACCTTTCCATAGAACTGCACTTCAGAAGATCTGAACCTTTTCTTTAAGTTTACCATAATTATCAGAGAAAAGACTGGAAATATTTTGTTTGTGCTGGAGAAAAGTCTAAATGCTATTTACAGTCTTTATGAAAAATGATTAGAATGAGTAAAACATCGTATATGCTTACAAGAAAAATGTTACATGAAATGAAAGATGAAAGTAGTTAGAAAAATATTGTTTGACATTTTCAGATCAGGCCGTGGGTTTGTAGGATTTATGACCATTTTCTTTTTAAAGAATTAAGGTTTGGTTGAGCTTTAAATGTTGTTTTTGTGAGTGTGTTTTCTTGGTGTTAGAAGTAAATGCTGTGTAAAGAAACACAAATGATAGTAATGGAAGTTCAAAACAATGATTGTGCAGCTGTTTAGAGATGAATTACACATGTTGACCTGGTCTGATGTTCTGTGACGTCTCTGTGTTCGTTTATTGAGGTCTTAACCTCACCCTGCTGCGCTGTTTGGAGTCTACAAGGGATTTTCTCATCCACTCCTGCTGAAAACCAATTTATCTTGTTGCTCTGGCCTCACTCCCCACTCTGTGTCTCTTCTGTTTATGTTCACTTATGATTAATGCAGCCAGCTCAGGTGCTCACAGCCATTTGTGTTAAACTCCTTGTTGTCAGGGAGCCGATCTAAAACGCAGTTAGATGAGGATTTAGTGTGTGCATGTTTAGTGTTTGACCTATCCAGTCTGTTGTTAGTGATTCTGATCATTCTATCAGTGAGACAACATCGTTTTTGTTATTTCTTGGCGTTTTGCTTCGTATTTATTCCTGTTTATGTGCACTGCAGAGGCGCTGGAGCTCATCTCTACTGCAGCCAATCACTCCAATGCTGCAATCAGGAAAATGGTAAGGCTTTTTATTGCACAAGATGCTGGTGTTCCAGTCCTTCTGATTAAACTTTATTTGAGCCAGTAATGTGTTACACAATCAAAGACTTGCGTATGTTTGTCAGCAACATTGCATTGTCACAGACAGGAAGCTGCTGTTTCCTGCTGCGAGTGGCATGACCTGCATCACTTTAATTCTCATCGCTTTCATCCGTCTGGCCCTGCACCCCTCACATTCTTTAAACAACTTTAGTAGACAAATATGTCATAAACTGTAATTGTTTAGTTTTTTTTTTCATTTTGACAGTGAAGAAAATCCAATAAATGGAAATGTGTTAAATAAAATGTGCAGGAGCTCCATTGATCTTCTGATCTAAGTGTCTTCACGGTGTTTTTCTCTCTCTCCCTCTCTGTTCACCTCATCCTCCTGCTTCTGAATGTTTTTCAGGAGAAGATGCACAAGCTCCTGGAGGTTTACGAGCGGCTCGGTGGAGAGGAGGACATAGTTAACCCCGCCAATGAGCTTATTAAAGAAGGGCTTATCAAGAAAATGTCAGCCAAAAATGGAACAGCACAAGACCGTTACCTCTACTTGGTGAGAGGGGTTGAAAATGTAAAAATGTGCCACTCCGGTGAATGTATATATGCATATGTATGGTCATTACCTGCTTTTTTTCCCTGCTCCTTATGCAGTTCAACAATATGGTGCTATACTGCGTGCCTAAACTCAGACTGATGGGGCAGAAGTTCAGTGTCAGAGAGAGGATTGACATCGCTGGCATGGAGGTCAACGTTCATTTCTCTACACCTTATAGATCTTTTCTGTTGTCCTCTTTAGACCTTTAGTTTGTTCTGCTGTGTGCACATCTCTTGTATTCTGCTTCTTAACCTCAGGTGCAGGAGAACGTGAAGCAGAACCTTCCTCACACGTTTGCCATCATCGGTAAACAGCGTTCACTCGAGCTGCAGGCCAGGTAAACGCATCTCTATTATCCCCAGAGCCACGTGCTTGACTCTTGATATTACAGAAACAAATATGGCATATTTTATTATTAATAAAAGTAATAGCTTCTTTGTGAAATATTATTGAGCATGCATCAGGATATTCCCAGAAGTAATTGTTACAGCTTGATGTAGTATGATCTAAGGTTATTTATTTATGGTTTTAGAAGTAGCATTAATTATTAGAAATCTGACTGAACCAACTGAATGATTAAACACAATAAACTTTTAGTTTTCTTTGGCTTTGCCAAGCGGCACATTTGCACACCTGACACTGAACCGTTATTCATAGTCATTGTGTATGATTAATGTCTTAGTACTACAATTTGTCACAGAATAAGATTTCTTTAAATGCCTTCTCTAGTGTCTAATTTTAACTTTCTGAAGCTATTTTAACGTGGTTGGATGTATTTTTTGTTCAAATTTTTTTTTTAATATTCTTTTAACTCTGCAGGACAGCAGAGGAGAAAGAAGACTGGATTCAGGCAAGAATCACACAATCGTACACCCACACACATATGAACACACAATCCGGGTCTCTAATACAGCACCGTGGGTTTATGCCTTTAGTTATTCTGCTTTATTTAAAAAAAAGGGGATTAGTATTTTTTCAATGTGCTCAGATTTTGAGCATAATATATTTTTTATATTGAAACCGCTCATTGCTCATTTAGCCCATTACAGCTGAGTAAAGCTGATTAAAGCCTTTTGCTGACTTGGCTAGAGAGTTATCATTTCACACAGTGGGCTTAGGAGGTACGGAGTTCATATGCAAGCATGAGAGGAGCAGAACAGCTGTGAGGCAGTGAAAAGTAAAACAAGACGTGATAGTAGGACCGTGGTGCTTTTGGAGACGGCTGTTGTCATTCGTTATCGCCCTCCACCATGAAAGGTGTGCGATGATGTCATTTTTTCTGTGTGTACTTGGTGTTTCTCACCTTTTTAGGACCTTTTCTGGGATACTCACCTACCTTGTCAGGACCAGTACTCTTAATGGGGACCAAAGCCCGATCCTAATATGGTGGAACAGCATGATTGGGTTAATGGTTCTGTTTAGGGCTAAGCAGTGCTTAATTTGTGAACCAGATGATGCCGGAACGCAAAACCCCCAGAAATGTTTGAATACTGTGATGCCATTTCCTGCATTCTGGTGTATTTTAATGGGTTGTTAAACACCTACGTTTACCTACATTTGTAAACACTTGATTCAATAACTATTTTAGAGAGCAACAAGAAGTAGCCTGACCAACAGCTCTCCCCTTGTGTGAAGAGAGCATGCTTCGCTTCTCTCAAGTATTCTAACTCTGCCCCTCCAGGGGTGGGTAGAAGTGGAAATACTTACTTGAAGAGGCAGCTCTTATGTGACATTAGGAAGCTCATAAGTGGCCGTTATGTTTAAAATGAGTGTTTATGTAATTATTTTCAGTTTACATATCAAATATGCGTTTTATTTGTTCAAGGCAGTCAAATTTGTTCATAACTTCAATATTAGTAAACCTGAGAGTTAACAGATCCTAGCAAACAGTTACCAGAATGCACCCTGTCAAAATAAGAGAGTTCCTGGATCCTGTTCCGGCTCAAATTAAGCACTGGGGCTAAGGGTTGAATTGAGTTTAAGTCAAGCTTATGGTTAAGCAAATACTGGCATTGGTTAGACTTAGGGTAAAGGTCAAAGTTTACTTACCGTATTTGTCTTATTGTTTCTTATCAAAATAATTACTGGATGTACATCAATAACAGATTCACTTTTGGAATCAGCCTAATTTAGGATGGCCACCACTGCTAATCAACCTCAGAAGACACCAAATTATTTGTAACTCAGTCAGTTTTACATGTATTGAGATAAAATCTGGTGGGGTGGTGGCTGATGGTCATAATCTGACCACTAACCAATCACACAACGTATCACAATTTTGCGCGAGTATGTCTTTTAAACCCAGGAACAAGCTTTGTCGATAGGGTTCATAAGATCAGAAACTTTTCCATCAAGCTGCATCCAAATGCTAACGTGTTTTTATTTGTTTTTCCTTCCGTCTCTTCTCTTTTCCTCTCACTCTCAGGTGATCAAGGCCACTATTGAACGACACAAACAAAACAGCGAAACGTTCAACAAAGCGTTCAACAGCTCCTTCTCCCGTGAAGATGACCACGTGCCGGAGTCACCGGTAAGTCACACTCTACAAGTCCCTTCATTGGCACGGCCCACTCAGCGGGTCACGTTGTTCAGTGAATCATGTGAGACCAGTGAATGATTTTATCATAGTCTCGTCTTTGTCTGCCTGAACAGCGTTTCCATCTATGGATGTGGTAGTTTGATACAGATTTAACACTCACAGAAAGAAGCTCTTTATTTCCACGTGTTGCATCTGGGAGTCTCCTCCCTCTAATCACCTAATAGGGAAAGCACAAAAGTTTACACAGAATTATTATGAATCTTCTTTTACCCTCTTGGGCTGACCTTTGCTGGATCCCAGCCAAGCAGCTGGTTGACACAAACCAGAGGACCAGCTCCACATGGGGCAGGCTGACATCTAGTGGTGGAGGTGCTTTAATGAAGGAGGAAGTTGTTGTTTTTTTGTGCTAAGTGTTGAATTTTCTCCTCAGGGTCCCTGGTTTAACACTTCAATTGACTCGGATGGTGAAAGACTACACGAAAGGGTAAGAAACTGTCATATATGATTGAAACGTGTTGTGATGCTTCACTGAGGAACTGTCACTGGGATTCAATCTCATTAATTAACTGCACAATAACGTAATGTTTCAAGATAAATGCGATCCAAATTAAAAACGGTGAATTAGAGCAGGACGGAGCGTGTTTATCTCTGAGTCTTTTCACGTTCTTTAAGTGTTTGAGAGACCAACTGTTCAAGATTCACAAATGTTTTCCCAGTCGTCCTACAGTGTCTTTGTTACACTGTTTGCTTCATGATGTGCCAAAATGCTTTCAGTGAGTGGTATTTCTGGACTGCAGGAAAGCCAGTTTGGTGTCGGCACGCTCAGCTGTCCTGTTGTGTTATGTGCAGAGTGTTGCCGGGAAATTTGGGCCCTGACAAAAACTGAGCAGGGATTTTCCTGAATCAGGCAGATAGCAGCATTTACATGTGATTTTTCAGTATAAATGACGCCTTCGCACATGCATGTATTTTCCATGCCTTGTCATAAATGAGCCCCCGTATAATCAGTGTCATCTTTTCAGCGTTGGACTGTGCAGCCTGGACTTTGTTTTGTTTGCTTTTTTTCCATTTACAAGGCAGACCTTTAATTTCTTTGCTGAATGCAGTGATAAGTGTTGTTCACTGAACGATACAGTGACTTTCAGCTCACAGCCATTTGCTTTGAAAGCAGTGCCCATCACGGCCCTTCAAGATCAGTCATGCTCTGATTGTTCTCCACTCTGTCTCTTTTACCATTTAAATTTGTGTTTACATTAATATGCATTTGGGTATATAGGATATATGTTGTTTATGTTAATATTATTATTGATGTCCCTAAACTATTTGCAATTTTCCACAATAGCTCATTTTAAAATATGCTTGTTATTTTCTAACCAAGCAATTCACCAAACTCTGTTACATTTTATATTTAACTACTGCTTTTTGTGCTTATGTTTTAGTTTTTATTAGCAGTTTACATTGTGTAAATGCTCCTTTTTCAATTTTCATTAAAACCGAAAGCTAAAGGACAGCAGTGTTTGCCTGTAATATTAGTAATATTATTATTAATATTATGTGTGTAATATTAACACCTGTTTGATCAAAACAGCTGTTACTCCGTCCCTTCTCTTCTTAAAATGATTTTAGTTTTTACACAAAAGTCAGGGGGAGTGGTTCCTGCAGTCTTCATTAGAACATGTATTAAGATTTTATGTCTTGTCCTTGTTTGACCTACAATCAAATCTGGGGTTTAAATTGTTTTGAAATCCTGTTGGACTCAGTAATCCATGTTTTTTTTATGTTGCACATGCAGCGTATTATTTGTCTGCAGTGACTGTGAGCAGTCTGCTTGAACGATCTTGTCTGACTGAAACACAAGAAGTCTATCTTATCTTTAGAAGATAAACTCTTACCGTACGGTACAGAAAGGGAAATCCTTATTGTTTGTTGGGACAAAAATCTGTCTAGTTTTGTGTACAAAGATGAGCCAAGTTTAAATTTTCAGCCCACTTATTCATAATGAACAAACTTCTGACAGGAAATAGTGTGTATTAGGGCTGGATGATACGGCCAAAACTTTTATCGCGATATATTTCTTAATTTCGGTCGATAACAATATAATTTGATATAGATATAAACAATATAAAAGCCTCAGAAAAACTGTACAAACTGTACAAATAAATTAATGTCACATTCTGACGGTCATGGGAACTCATTTTGAAGCGAAAACTTAACGCGCGTTGGATTAGCCTAGCCTGCTACAGCTAACGCCTACTGGACTCGCGCTCTGCGTAACATCTACGTCACCACGCACTTGCGTAGTTGTCGCGGCTTTTTATGTCTCAGCTTTTTCTGGCCGCTTCAATTTCAACCTGAACAGAAAAAGAAATGTGTCAGTGAAACTCTGGAATCATATCGAAATATTGAAAATGTGCTTAAAACTCATATCACCTTTATTGAATAAAAGTATATTGCGACATATGTCAATATTGAATTATTGTCCAGCCTTAGTGTGTATATATTTGTAAATGGTCCGTGCTTGTACAGTATCTTTCTAGCCAACCAGGAGTGTTTTTCAACACAATCTGTGCTCTCTTTATCTATCCAGCACTCTACATCTAGATGAAGCTAAGCTCAATAAATCATTCTGTAGAGTCTAATCAGTGCTTTAGATCGCATTCATACACCACTGGGCACATTGGAGGCCGTGAAGCGTCAGCACACTTCAACATGTGACTGCATACTGGTGGACTTAAACCTGCGGCTCTCTCGTTGGACTTGACATTGTTTCTATTTCGTTTGAGCTAAATCATTGACATACCAGTACTTGTTCTGTTCTTATAGTTTGTTTGTTTTTTGTATTAGAAGAGTTCCAGGAAGAAGGACAAGGAGAAACAAACATGCAAAGGCTGCAATGAAAGCTTCAATTTCACCAAGCGCAAGCATCACTGCAAGTCCTGCGGAGCGGTGAGCACAGATGGACCGAGACAAATTTGGGCAAATTTGGTGTGATGAAGTAATGCGTTGATGGAAAACAAAAGTGAGCGGACAAGTGGAAAATGGACCTCAGTCAGTTAACTGTCTGTGTGTGTCCACCTGCAGGCCATCTGTGCCAAGTGTTCGAGGACCTTGGACAATAAGACGAGCATTCGAGTGTGCCCCGAGTGTTATGAAGCCAGCCTCAGCCTGGAGAGTCTGTGTGGTGGCGAACAGAAGAGGAAACCTGCAGCTGCTGAGGTAAAACATGCACAATAAAAACACAAGGAAGATTCAAAAAGTGCTTCTAATTTAATCAAACATCAAATGACAGGAAAAAAGTCAATGCAGCTTGTGTTCATATTGTCTTTGTATACATATCTGTGTTAGAAATGAGCACATTTTCAAAAACACATATTGTACTTGAATATGGTGACTACACATGTTCATTTTTTTTAATGTGCTCATCTCTCTTTGAGGGCTAATATAATACCCGGTAATTGGATCTCAGCTTAAGGAGGGTCAGCTGTGTGCTGACATGACAGTCTGGCAGCTTCAGGTGTCTTAACACACTGTCTGCCTGTCGGTCAGATCTACAGGAGGACACATACAACTGTACGCTGCACAGTGTTTTTGGAATAGTCACGTTATGTTTCAGATTCTTCCCCTCTTCTCAACATTGTAAGAAAGCAAACAAAATCTTCTGCAGGGACAGTAATGGCCACATGGGAGAGCTGCAGCTTACCCAAGAGTCAGACAAGGAGCAGACAGCTTACTGCACGTCTGTCTGTCTACAAATCTTCTTGCAATACCAGGGGTCTGCAACCTGTGGCTCTGGAGCCTCATGCGGCTCTTTCAAGCTTGGACCAAAACTAACATAAAACTGAATTTTATAGGATGTTATACCCATAATAAAAAAATGACTAGTTTTAGCAGTTTTCCTCTCATTTCCTTTGCAAATATGTTGATACTAGTACTAACACACAGAGTAAATTGTACTCCCTTTAACGTTATGCTTTATTTCTTCAAAGTAGGATACTCAATTTCTCTACAGTTAAAAAACACATAAGCCTGAACAGTTCTTTGTTTTAGTTTTTAAAAAAGATTGGCAAAATATATATATATATATATATTTTTTTTTTACATGAATTCAGTCTTCTGTGATAGACTTGAAACTTGTAGATGAGCACCAGTGACCCCCTGCAACCTGAAAAAGAAAAGCGAGTAAAGATGATGGATGGATGGATGGATGGATGGATGGATGGATGGATGGATGGATGGATGGATGGATGGATGGATGGATGGATGTGAGTGAGTGAGTGAGTGAGTGAGTGAGTGAGTGAGTGAGTGAGTG